GCTTGTTTTTTCTGGTCACGTAAGATTTGTGAAATAAAAGAAAACTCTTTTGCTACAGTGTATCAATGTTATGTTATAAAACAAATTGTAAACGCCACAGTGTGGTGTTTACCATTTGTTAAATACAACTTTCCGCTACATATTTCTTTATAGCAACACCCTAAAACAGCGAACGAGGAATGAGAGAATGGGAGTGTTAATGCTGTCGCATTAGATTTGTACAGCGGCATTTAGTTTGAATTTTGTTACCAGTCTTCGCTCGGACAAGTGACATGTTTTCACTGTTCGAGACAAGGTCGTATCTCGGCCTACCTAAACGAATTTCAGGGCGTTAAATTTGCTTTAAGGATCTTATTGTCAACGGTTTTAATCGTCCTATATAAACGGAGAGACTAAACGGAAACGGAGGGCGATGTAATAAGGAACCTAAGGAGTGATTAAAGGTACAAACAATTCTACGAGGCCGAGCGTTTTTAATCTTCAGGACAGTATTTATTGCCGACGGTTACAGGGAGAATGGGGAATGGGAGAATGGGTGAGTGGGGGAATGGGAGAATGGGGGAATGGGAGAATAGGGTAATGGGAAAGTGGAGGAATGATGGAATGAGGGAATGAGGGAATGAGGGAATGAAGGATTGGGGGAGTGAGGGAGTGGGGGAATGGGAGAATGAAGGAACGGGGCAATGGGTTAAAAAAGGGAATGGGGGAAATGGGGGAATGGGTGAGTGGGGGAATGGGAGAATGGGGGAATGGGAAAGTGGAGGAATGACGGAATGAAGGAATGAAGGATTGGGGGAATGACGGAGTGGGGGAATGGGAGAATGACGAAACGGGGCAATGGGGAAATAAGGGAATGGGGGAAATAAGGGAATGGGGGAAATAAGGGAATGGGGGAAATGAGGGAATGGGTGAATGGGCAAATGGAGGAATGAACAATGGGGGAATGGGAGAATGCGGAAGTGGAGGAATGGGAGAATGAGGAAATGGAGGAATGAGGGAATGGTGAATGGGAGGATATGGAAGTGGGCGAGTGGAAGAATGAGGTAATGGGGGAATGAGGGAATGGGCAAATGGAAGAATGGAGAATACGGGAATGGGAGAATGAGGGAATGGGCCAATGGAGAATGGGGGAATGGGAGGATGCGGAAGTGGGCGAATGGAAGAATGAGGTAATGGGGGAATGAGGGAATGGGGAATGGGAAATCTATAAAATGGGGGAATCTTTAAAAGTGGGAATCTTTGAAATAAGGAATCTTTAAAAGCGTCCATCTTTACAAAGAGGGAATCTTTAAAAGTGGAAATCTATAAAAATGGGGAAATCTTTGAAAGCGGCAATCTTTAAAACGGGGGAATCGTTAAAACAGGGGAATCACTAAGAGCGGGAATCTTTAAAAACGTAAGAATTTTTATTTGCCGATGGCAGGGGCACACGATAATTACTTTTTTGTTAGCATGAATGGTATGTCAGTCATCAACCCTATAAGTAATTATGATTGAATACTCTGTTCATCAGAAGCTTTCTTAAATGAATTGAATATCTAAATATTCATCACTTATTTTAAATATTAAACATAATAGCCCCTCAGCACACTTTGTGGCAATTATCACTTTGTCTTCTTAATCTTTTGCAACTAAACATCTGTCATTTCCCCTAGCTCTACACTTCAGTCTCCAAACCCTCAACATCTTTTGTTGCACCACTTTGTCGTTGACTTTGGCATCTTCTTCGAAAACACAAAAAAAGCAACGCTAGTGCTATCAGCAACAAAACTACAGCTACAGGAACAGCAACTCCCTTGGCAATGTCACCTCCCTTTTGGTTGCATGTTCCTAAAAAATAAGAAATGACATGAGATAACAATTAAGTTTATTAGTAAAACCATTATGGGATTGTAATCTAATCAGGTAGCAGTCATTTTTTTAATCTAACACCAGATTCTCAAAATAAATTTACAGGGAAATGTGTAGCAGCTAGAGGGGAGAATTCACAATCAGATCCTGGGAGTTAACCCTTTTCCTAAAATCAGTAGGCAAGTTCTCCATACAGTTCTCTATACATTTCCTATGGTGCTGAAGAGGAGAAGTTGTTTAACTTCTCCAACAATCAATAGCTTTTTGAGTCTATGATTATTTCCTTCATTCCCATGACCTTAATGTTTGATTAAGAAATGGTATTGTATGGAGGAATTAGACACTAGCCACTCTTAGGGGTTAATTCATAATGGTAACTGAACTGAGTGGAGTGCAATTTGGGCTGAAATCATATGCGTGATTTCAAAATCAAATGAGCCCGCAGTGCGAGTTCGATTTGAAATCACAAGTATGATTTCAGACCAAAATTGCACGACACGAGGTTCAATTACCACTTTATTACATCCATTTTGAAATCGCCCAAATACAGCACTTGCTCAATTCAAATATTTTACTGATCCAGTACTGAGCCGGTTTTTAAATAACAAGGGGAACCAGAAACGCTTTTACATCTTAATGTGTCTGCAAAACAGAAAGACTGACGTCAAGTGTCAAAAACTCAGTCTAGCGTAAAATGATGCAATTTAGAGCAAAAAATTATGCGAATCGTAAATAAATCGCACCAATTAGAGCCAATCAGATTACAGGGACCACCAGTGATTTCAAAATGGATGTAATAAAGGGTTAAAGAATTAGGGGTCTAATCAATAAAAGATAAATATCTTAAGATCAACTTCAACAGCATTTATATTTTATATATTAGTTGGCAGACTTGCAAACAAAATGTTCACATTTGAGATGTATTTGCATGGTACAAAATAATTATGTGATGGTTACAGTACAGCATACATTCACAAAATCGGTGGCTGGCTGCAGCTAAATGCAGCCAAAGAAAAAAGATCTGTGACTTTTGATATATTTTAAACATGTTTACTGGTATGTCAACTTTTCTTCTTTTGACGATCAATACTAGGTGAATTTTACACAAATTTGTACATGGAGCTGGTGTTTATTTAAGGTTAGTCCGTGACGTTTTTCTTTGTTCTTGTTTCTTTGTTGCGTTACGTTTCGGTACATATACTCGAGTTAGAGTTTGGTCAAATGTTTTTTGGACTGTAGCTTCTCACACGTGTTCTTATCGATGAGCTCTTGCAGGCTGTAAACTCTTCTTTTAATCATTTGGTTCACACAAAATGTAAGTAGGATTTTGATTGACACTTGTTTTAGGTATTCATTTTGTTTATTCGTCTTATTGTTTGTTTTCTTCCTCAGTTTTCACCGTCTTGTAACCGTTTTCATGACATGTTTACACTATCAATTGTGATGGTCGAAAATTGTAGGAATATTACCGATAACGTGTTGAAGTTTTGTGCTATCCCCAACAGTTGGAGTTACTGTAGCTACTGATCTATTCGTAGTTTTATTGACTTGTCCTGCCATCACACCTAAATTGAATAAAAAAATGCTAGCTGTAAAAGGACATTGTCTGCATAATTAAGCAAGACAGAATTTCTCCTAACCATATCATTACAATATCACACAGACAAGGGAGGAGATTTGTTATGGGGTCATCTCGTGTAGATGATAATAAGATGGTCTCATTACTTTACATGGCCATCTGTAGTACCACTATTTTTCATTACATTTCAGCTACCCACCTACCCATATGTGAATTTTATACAAATTTATATCTGGAGTTGGAGTTGCTGTAGCTATTGATTTATTTGAAGTTTTATTGCCCTGTCCTGCCATCACACCTAAATTGAATCAGAAAATGCTAGTTGTAAAAGGACCATTGTTAATCATTCAAAGAACAACCTATCCCTTCCTAACAGCACCATGCATATCCCTGCTATGCGTCTCCATAAGCAAGACAGAATTTCTCCTTAGCATATCAATACAATATCAAACAGACAAGGAAAGAGATTTGTATGCCAGACAGTAGGTAAAGTCCGTTTACAAGCCAGTGGCCCATCAGGCTGGTGCTTAACTCTGGTTTCTGTAGCATGAAGCGACTAGTCCATTGCAGGGTTACACCCCCAGCATTAAATTTGCAATTACCCATTTAAAGACCTGGGTGAAGAGAGGCACTGTGAGAGTAAAGTGTCTTGCCTAAGAACAAAACACGATGTCCCTGGCCAGGGCTCGGCCCAGGACCACTCGATCTGGAGTCAAGCGCACCAACCATGAGGCTACTGCGCCTCCACATGCCAGACAGTAAGGACAGTTCTACTCAATGAGATCTTGGGAGTGAAAGGGTCAAAGAAACTTCATGCATGCCCAACTGACTGAATAAATGACTAAATAACCAACTTATTGGTTGAGTGATGAACAAGTTTTCCAATAAAAATTATATCATAAAAAATAATTTATTGATCATTGGAACCCAAACTTTAATAGTAGTGACCTTTATGTTGTACTTGACTATTGAATATACTTAAAAATGGTACACTTTCCACAGCTTTATCATACCTGTAATTGGTACCTTACCAGTGCTAGTTTGAACACTTAGTCTTGTAGATGCAGTGCTTATTTCAGGTAGAACTGTAAGAAAAAAATCAACAACCACCATTAAAAAAAATGAAGCAATTATAAACTTTATTACATTTTCAGCTACCCACCTGTTATCATTTTCTTATCCTGAAAGTCACAATTGCGACTACTTTCAATTGCACCCTTAAAAATATATGTTAAGGTCACACTGAAGTTGCTTGATAGAGTGCTCATCTTAAGTGTGATGTGGGTCGTGTTGATATGAAATTCGAGTCTGTTGTGACAGAATTCCTTCAAACCAGGTTCCTTCGGGTGAGGGTTACATGTCAAGGTTACAGAACCTTTTGGCATACTAGCAAATTCCACAGAATTACGGGAGACACGGTAACCACGTAGCCCTTGATCATGGGAGAATTCAGAGGGCCATCTCCTCCACACTACTTCAATTTTCTGACCTTGAGCAATCTCAATATATTCTTCCAAAGCTAAAAAAGAAAAAAATACAGCCATACATAATAAAATGTACCTAATTTCATCATTTGAAATATATTTAAATAATCCTCATTGGTAAATTACGGTTCTTACAAGTCCAAAAAAACATTCAACTCAAGACAGAGAGTACATTGTACCTGACTATTATGGGAAAGAACTGACTTTACAAAGTAGTTTTGTGTAATCCATTAACTTGATAGACTTTCAACCTTTCACTATGCCCACAACACTTTACTGCAACCCCACAAGACAATAAAATCATAGTTAGTAGAGGGGACTGTCCCCTCTACTAACTATGATAAAATTTTAGGACAAGGTCAAGTAAATAATTTGTTACTGCAGCAGATACATGAATCATTTGCCCCAGTCTTTATCTACTATCTCATCACAAGTCCTTCTGAGAGGCCACACATTCCCTACCTATAAGCACAACTCACATCCCTAGCACTAACACCAATGAACCTACACTATGTCAGAACTTCAGCTGACCTGTTGTACCTACTTTAGAAATAAAGAGATGCCCAACTGTGGAGATTTAAAATCTGGAGATTTTCCTCTAATGCCATCACAGCATCAACTTAGCAGCATCTAACTCCAACTAAAAATGTGATGCCCCCCTCCCCCTGATCAAATAGATCTTCCTTCTCCAAAAAACAAAGAAAGCTTTTGTTTAGTTTATGTCCCAAAGAAGTTGCATTAAAAAAAATGTAATATTGCTTTGATTTGAGTAAATCTGGTAATAGGATGTTAGCCTACAGTGGAGCAAAGCCTTCTCAGAGATACCAGCACTTATGTGCTCCTCATCAATTCATGTTGAAATAAGTTTATTTCAAGTACAAAACTCACCACAACTAGAGTTATGCGGATCTCCTTCCAGATCAATGTGGCCTTGAATACCTCCCACTGCATGAAAAGAGTGAAGAGACAGCCTTGATTTATATGGTATGACTAGGGTACTAACATTTCAATCTTGTTTGAAAGCGGGGTATAAGTCTAACATAAACACACTGATACAATTACCAATAATTGGCCTGCAAGATTGCTGACTCAACTGGTGGGTAAACCATATTCAGTTTCTGATGACCAAAATCAGTCAAATGCCTTGTATACAGTTCTGTATGTTTTGATATATATTTTTCGAACCAGCTGAAACTACATATAGTCAAATCGATGTCTCATTTGTGCGAAGAATCCTGCCGCTTTTGCAGTTGTGTCAAATGCAAGACAAATGATCGATTGCGATCTTGAGCGCGATCTTGTCATCTTAATTCTTAATTTATTTAAATTTACATACCTTCACAAGGCTTTATAATTTCCTTTTTTCTTTTTATTTCGTGGCATACCTGTAAACTAGCTTTTAGCTAAGCGTTCTGACCACGTTAAATAAATTGATTGATTGATTGATTGATTGATTGATTGACAAAGAATTAAATGCATTCGATGAGAAGCTGGTTTGGTCGGAAGTGTCGTCATAAGGCACTTTTATATCATGTTATGGCTGAAAAAACAAACATTCTTCACTGTAGACTCCGACATCTAGACGCTAAAAGTTATAGATAACCATTCCATGCCACCGCCTTTCTCAGGCACTGTTATCCTTCTTCTTGTGTGCCAAGATGGCGGATCGTCTACGTCTTCCATTGATAGCAACTATGGTGTGCCTTAACTACAAAAATTCTTCGATATAAGATATTTTTCATTTCCTCCAAGAAAAAGTTGTCTTATACCGATAAGAGTTTGTAATAAGAACGGCACTATGGCGTAAATACAGAAGCAGTTAACAGCACGTTCTGCCACTGCGTTCGTTTCGAATACTCAACTCGTGAATAAAAATCGTATGCACGCATTTTCCGTCTATATTTCCCTACCTTGAAAAGTCATAAAAACGATAAGAGTACCGTAAAGGGGAAAAAAAAGATCCATGTTGAACCAGGCGAAGTTAAACACAACTTCAGTACCACTGTATATATACTGTTCCAACGCGAACTAATAATAGTCTCTTGGGACCGTCGCAAGGTCTCGAAAATTGAAAAATAGGCTTATTTTGTAACATTGTAAAATTTGATTTGCATTGTTAAGCCACCGAATTTATATCACATTGCTTAAAAACCTTTCTAGTTTTCCAAGAAAGTTAGAATTTGCCCTCTCAATATATCTAAAAAGGCGAATTTTAGCATATTCTGACCCCTATAAATCTACATCGGCCGATGACCGAAAATAACCTTGATTTAGACGTTAAGYTTTGGGATTTGGGACCTGGTTGACAACTCTATCCTACACAGGCGTTAAGTTTAGACCTTTACAGGCAAAAAAATGCAAAAATCCCTGTACTTTTTCGATTTTTCAAAAGTTATGACCGTTTGAATCAGCACATGTACGAACATTCGCGATTTTTTCACCTACACTAAAATCGAAC